CTCTCTCTCTCTCTCCCTCTCCCTCCCTCTCCCTCCCTCTCCCTCCCTCTATCTCGTTTGGGCTGCTGAATACCGAATGAGCCGAGGGGCGACGTCAGCATATTTTGGGATGATAACTGCGCTAGAACGAGCTGGAGGATGTTAAGGGAGCCTAGTGAGGCGGCGGCGCTCTGCTAGGCTCGGCGTGGGAAGCGAGCGCGTTAATAATTTGTAGGGCCGCACGATGTTTGCATATCAAGCAGCCGCGGAGCGGGGTGAGCAGAGCTTTAGGTTCCCGTAGGCTTCCTATTTTCCTTTTGGGCATAACTTTTGGGCTTGCGAGGGCCGAGTGCGTTACTTCTCTGTAGATTTGCCTTGCTGGTGCCTTCCCCCCTACTTTACACACACGCACTCTCACACACACACACACACACACACACACACACACACACACAAACTTGCGCGCGTGCGCGTACGCAGGGCTGCCACGTTAGAGGACCTTCATTGTTCGTTCGTGTGTGCTGCATCACGCTCGTGTCGACATCTCAGCAGTATTGCGACGCTGCGAAGGTCCTCAGCCGGGGCCCGGGTGTCCTGAGGACGCCCTTCTCAGGTCACACCTCCTGGGCCTGGGTCCGGGTCCGGGTCTGGGGTCCGCCCGGCCGCCTGACCACCAGGCGCGGCTGATTCCCACGGGGCCAATAATTAATAATAACGCGAATAACGCTCTCACGAGGCCTAACGGTGCTCAATCAGGATATGTCTTTTGTGCGTCGGGAGTGCACACTCACTCAGAGCAGACGGCGGTTGAAGTCGATGGTGATGATGATGTTGATGCTGTTGATGGAATTCCAGGAGCTAGAGCCTGGGTGCAAGGCCTGCAAGGCCTGCAAGGCGGCGGACCCAGACCGTTCTGCAGGTTTGGCGCCGAGATATCAATAAGCTCGTGGCCTCTCTCCAATTACACAGACAATCTCTGGCCGTCGGCAACGATATCATTATATTTCTCTCAGGCGCGAGGATGCTACCGCCGCTGCTGCCGCCTCGGTTTGGCTTGATTGATCAGCCGACAGTCCCCCCGCGGCAGGTGGCGGCGCCGGGGGCATATTCAGGGCAGAGCGAGAGAGGAAGTTTAACTTTACGAGCTGCAATGCAAAATGAGATTCTACCGAAGGGATGTTCTTGACTAACTCAAGTCTGTTCTTTTACCAAGAGCAGAGCAGTATTTCTTTCGGCAATCCCATGATTAAGTTCACGGAAAATGATCAAACCTAAGCTTATCGAATGTCTTATTCGAGTGCTTTTTTTTAGCAAACGTCAAAGTTTACCAATATATTACCTAAAGTTCTAGTTCTACTTAACTTTGGGTTGGTGTGAGTGAAGTGTAACGAGGGCTCGCGTGGACTTCATCCTCGACCTTTGGCACGAGCGCTAGCGAGCGCCGGCTCCAGCCCCGACTCCAGCCGCCTGCTCTCGCTCTGTATGCAGCGCGGAGTGCGATCGGATGCTGATGGAATGATCAATCAAGGCGGAGTGGGGCAACGCGTGTCACAATGTCGGCGTGCGGCGTTTATTAGTCGGCGGGGATTATAACTGCTCGGTGTACGCGGCGGTCGTTGACCCGGCTGATCCCCGCGGCCCGATCCCCACCCCGCGCTTTAATCCCCGCGGGTCGATCCCCCTGCTCGGCTAATCGCCGGGGTCATTCCCCGGGTGCTGCCGAGCGCTGCCGTGACGTAAGTGGGGTGCATTTGGGGCCGATCGACTCCAAATCGCGCTGCGGTGCGCGGGTGAGGCGCTGCAGCAGCAGCTGGACCCCGCCGCGGGGAGGGGAAAGAGAGAGAGCTTTCTCTCCGAAAGTGAGGAGACGGGATGAGCGACCGGCCGGCGGACCACTTCCAAAGGGCCACAAACGGTGATGCTGATGATGTTTGTTGCGCAAGATAACGCACACTCACACACAGGCGTTACGGCGGAGACGGGTATCGGCGAGAGATCCCCACGTCCAGCAACATTCGCGTTTCCCCTATTTACGGAGAAAACCGCGCGGGGCTATGGCACCTCACAATTGCGTGTAACTGGTGTCAGGGCTTATACTTGTGCTGTGGAGGTGGCAATTAGGGGTCCCAAGGTGGGGTCATCATGTAAGTTCGTCACCCTGCAGGACAGGAATGCTGTCGTCCTGAGCACCGCGGTGTGAACACCTCACCATGGACAGCCCGCCGTGCTGGGACTCGACCCGGCGCTCGACGGGGTCCTGGCGCGACTTCCTGGAGCCGCCCGCGCCCTGCTCGCCCACCGTGCTGTCCCTCTGCAGCGCCGCCTCCCTGAGCCGGCGCCGGGGACGTCGCCTCGACGACGACGACGACCATGACTCAGTCCTGGACACGGACCATGACGTGACGGAGGCCGTCATTGAGCCCGTCACCGTATCGGCGACGGGCACCTGGAGGGACCACCTGGTCGCGGACGTGCCCCTGGTCAGCTCACCCGCACCCTCCACGAGACGGATCAGCAGCGAACGCGGCAACCGGAACTCTGAGGAGGACGAAGACGACGAAGACATCGCGGACCTCGAGCTCCTGTCTGCTGGCGACGAGATGGTGTTCGAGCCGTTCTCGGACACGTGCGGGGAATGCGAGTGCGACGAGGACGGGGGTGGCCACGCCGCCGACGTGGACCTGGACGGGCTCGACCTGGCCCTCTTCGAGCCCGCGCCGTCCGAAGACTCGTCTTCAGTGTGCTCGGCGTGCTGCTGCCGCTGCCGCGAAGAGGAGGACGGGGAGGACGAGGACGACCCTGGGCTGGCGTCCGCCGTGTCTGGATCTCTGCTGTACATCTTCACCGGCGCAGGTAACGGCACAACGAGGCCAGCTGCTACCCGTGTCTCTGTCCACAAGGCTGCCCTTACGTGTTTGCGTAAGGCGGTCAGCTGATCGCATTGCCTTACACTAGTTTACCCCGAGGCTTCCTCGGCGCGGCGCGGCGTGGCCTGGCGTGCAGGGAGTGGTTTCGGTTTCCTACTTTCCCATATCGTTCGCGAGCTGGGCCAGCGTGTCCCTGCCCGGCCGGGCCAGCCCGGGGCTGATTGGCTGGCCGAACAGATCACGCTAGACCCCCCGGCCCCCCGCCCGCCGCCCTACCACTTCACGCCATGCTGAGGGCGAACTCGCAGCGAGCCAATGGCTTTTTGTCACTGCCGAATTTGCATAAGATGCAGCCCGGATGAGGTCGATTAGGATGAGATGCAGGCTCGTCTCTTACATGTTGTGTTTTTCTCTGTTGCAGGTAAGAGACCGTGGCCTGGTGAGGATCAGGATACCATCTTCTATGCCTTCATAAAGGTTTGAGTTGAGGAGACTTTAACGCTGGGGCTGGTGTTGTGCGCCCAGGAAACGCAGGACGCAGGTCCTGAGCAACCAGCAAATAGAGCGACTGATCCGATTTGGGATTCGCGCTTGACGAAAGAACCTGCCTTATCTGGGTTTGTTAAGTGACGGCCCGTCACGCGACACGGGGGGCCAGCAGCCCGGGGCTCCGCGCACTCGCTGAGGTAACGCGACGACCAACTCCCCGAAAGAAAACGAGGCGTTGCCTCCTGGCCTCTGAGCAGGGTAATTATCGGTGGAGTCGAAGAGCGAGAAAGAAAGGCAGAGAGATACGGAGTAGAAAAAGACATGCGTTGGCATTTGTCGTGAGCACAGTCGTGCGCCGCGGCCCGGGCGGCCGGGCACGAGCGGTGTGGAGGTGTCGCCACGAGTAGTGCGTTTAGCGGGCTCGCCCCAGGCCCGCGCTGGGCCGGCGGGGTGGCGCAAGCGGGACACATCGGGGACGACACTGCTGGACAGGGACAGCCTGTCGACCCGGCGGTGATCCAGATGTCTGAGGTAATCATGCCGATGATGCGGATGAAGTCAGACGCGATGGGCGCGATGACAGCGACAGCGGCATCGACTGCGATATTTGAACTACGAGTCCTCTCCCTCCTGAGCCCTCCCGCGCTGATGCAGCAGGGCACTCGGATTAGTGTCGGCTTGCGCCACGCCCCGCCATTCAGGCAGAAGGGTCCCGCGGGTCGAGGGGCGATGCGGCCGACAATTAGCTACACGCTGCACGCAGCTCGGGCGGGGCGGGGCGGGGCGGGGCATCTCGCCTGTAGAGGGCCTCCACCAACGCGACTCTCGCGTGCACCGGCCGGGCCGGGTGGGCCACCAGGGAGTGCCACGATTAAGACAATCAGTCTAAACGGTCTCAAAACTCGGACTGTTTCTGCTCTGGTGCTTCGTTTTGAAGTCGGGCCGTTTGCTTTAATGTATGGTGGGTGAAAGTGTCAGACACCTGAGGAGACCCCCCGGAGGACTCTTCAACCTTTGCCGCTTAAACTTTGCCGTCACATGACACTGGAGTTTTTATTGGCTAAGCTGCTATTACTCCAGTGACCCGAAAAACGAACACTCCAGCAAAGCTGCTACACAAGCTGGCGTGCCTGCCCAGCAACTCTGTCAAGAAACTAGGTTGTAATTGTAACTGTGATGCGAGCCAAAATATTCTCATTTGTGTGTTCAGCTTGTTGCACACTTAAATTAATCGGTGTGCTCAAAACATTCGTCATATTGCGAGACGTAAACTAAGATCCACTTCCTCCACATTTTCACTGCCTTTCGTCCCCTTTACTAAATCTCCATCACCCCCTCCCCCTTCTCGTCCTACTCTTCGTCCTTCTCGTCCTACTCCTCGTCCTCGCCCTCGTCCTCGCCCTTGTCCTCGCCCTTGTCCTCGCCCTCCTCCTCGCCCTCCTCCTCGCCCTCCTCTTCGTCCTCTTCTTCGTCCTCTTCTTCGTCCTCTTCTTCGTCCTCTTCTTCGTCCTCTTTTTCGTCCTCTTTTTCGTCTTCTTTCTTGTCCTTTTTTTCTTCCTCCTCTTCGTCCTCCTCGCGCTCCTCCTCGCCCTCCTCCTCGAGCTCCTCCTCGCCCTCCTCCTCGCCCTCCTCCTCGTCCTCCTCGTCCTCTTCGTCCTCCTCCTCGTCGCCCCCCACCCCCATACTCCTCACCCTTTGGACGAGTTGCTGCGGAGAGACGGGCACCAGCAGCAGGCGCACTGGAACTCGCGTGCGTGAGCAAACATAACGCAAGTCCTTTTATGTGTCCGGCCGGCGAACGCGTGTCTTAATTCTGACGCGGCGGCAGAGCGGGGCAGGGCGGGGCGGGGCAAGGCGGGTGCGGCTGCAATCCGAGCGTAGCGGCGGCGGCCTTGTGAGGCATCCCAGGGGCACAGCCGCGGCCCGGCGGTAGGGGGCAGGACGTGACAGCGCCGCTGCGAGGTGTGGCGGGGCGGGGCGCGGTAAGGTGTAGGGCGGGG